TTTTATAAAGAGAACGAAAGATTAAGTAGAGACAAAGAAAACGAGAATCAGAAGAAGGGAAACTAAACGTCAAGAATCAAGAGACTAGAAAGAAAATGGCTCCCTCTTTCACATGCACTTATTATCTATCTAACTCGTAAATAGTTGTAATTTGGGACGAGTTAATAGTTTAGTTAGTGTCGTAAACCTGAAGATAGACCATAGTGCGTGCTGCTAGGATTGGTAAGATTTGCTAGGCGACCCAAATTAAGTAGGTGGTTATCTCAGCTTCTTAGGAATTATCGCTCTATTTCAAGTTGCTTATGTTGCTGGGAAATGGTGAATATTATGTGTAGGAGAAGAGACGGTGAGGATATTGTCACACTTTTAAATGAATCTCGTGTGTGGTTGGTGCCTGGTAGTGGTGGGAACCGGTGGTGAAGCGAGAGTGAGAAATGGCTTTATGTGAAGTCAGCATTTGTTGATATTGAAAGCGATTGGTATACAGTACAACACGTTTTCCCCGGGTAGAGTTAGCCGGCAGCAGCCTACACCTTTCCTTTGGTTCGTGCGTCTGGCAACTTCATTAGCAAGGCCCCGTTTCTTCAACTGTAAGATTCAATAACTTCCCTTTCCACCTTTATTGCCTTCCGGTTTGGTGTAAAAACCTGCTCACCGGGGGACAATTTGAGATATATTAGACATTGATACAGTCAGGCATTGAGAGAGACAGATATTGAAACACACAAACGTGTTTCAGTTGGTGGGAAACAGGACTGGGTGCGCCCCCATGAACACAGCTAGGAAGTGTGTGTGTGTGTGTGTGTGTGTGTGTGTGTGTGTGTGTGTGTGTGTGTGTGTGTGTGTGTGTGTGTGTGTGTGTGTGTGTGTGTGTGTGTGTGTGTGTGTGTGTGTGTGTGTGTGTGTGTGTGTGTGTGTGTGTGTGTGTGTGTGTGTGTGTGTGTGTGTGTGTGTGTGTGTGTGTGTGTGTGTGTGTGTGTGTGTGTGTGTGTGTGTGTGTGTGTGTGTGTGTGTGTGTGTGTGTGTGTGTGTGTGTGTGTGTGTGTGTGTGTGTGTGTGTGTGTGTGTGTGTGTGTGTGTGTGTGTGTGTGTGTGTGTGTGTGTGTGTGTGTGTGTGTGTGTGTGTGTGTGTGTGTGTGTGTGTGTGTGTGTGTCCATTATATCCAGTGTCCCGTAAACGTTCACTCTTCTGTCTCACGCAATCCACTATTACCTGTTATGTATGTATGTATGTATGTATGTATGTATGTATCGCAGATTTTATTTATATCATAATTACATTCATGGAAAACCAACCCAATTTTATCTTAACCCAGACCACGTTTTCTATATAGTGGAGAGCGTCGAGTGGTGGTAGTGGTTGTTGTGGTAGTGGTGGTGGTTGTTCTTATGTGTACACTCATGGAGGGAGAGTGTGCGAGTCTCTCTCTCTCTCTCTCTCTCTCTCTCTCTCTCATACAATACTACCCCATCTTACCACTCACCACTCCCTCTCTCCCCTCTCACCACCCTCTCCCTCACTCCCTTCCTCTCCCCATCTATATTTCCCGTCACACCTCCGCCCACACTGTCCCTCTCACCGCCCTGCCTCTATACCTCACTTCTCTCCCTCTCTCTCAACTCTCACCTGTTTTCCTCCTCTTGTAATTGTCCTTGTTTTCCTCTTACGTCGTTTTCCTGGTTTTTAGTGATGTCATTTTCTTGATTTTAGTGACGTATTTTTGTTTTTAGTGACCTCATTTTCTCGATTTTAGTGACGTATTTTTGTTTTTAGTGACGTCATTTTCCTGGTTTCTTACTGACGTCAATACTTGGTTTTCTACTGATGTCATATTCCCTGCTTTTGTCACGTCATCTTTCTGGTTTTAGTGATGTCAATTTCCTGCTTTTAGTGACGCGATTTTGCCTTGATTTTAGTGACATGTCCTGGTTTTGGTGACGTCATCTTCCTTGATTTTAGTGACGTCATTTCTTGGTTTTCTAGAGCTAGATAACACGGGATAAGATAGTTGTTACTGACCCGTGTATAGATAGAGTTTAGATAACTATAGATATACAGTAGATATAGATACATAGTTTAAATATACATGATAGTTATGTAATCCGACTTGACCGTCCAGGCATCATACTTTGGACCCTAGACCTTTGACCCTTGACCTGAGACCATGGACCCTAGTGGTGTGCCTATTATGGGTATTATCTGCACTAATGTTTGGTATCCAGTGTGTGTGTGTGTGTGTGTGTGTGTGTGTGTGTATGTGCGTGTGTGTGTGTGTGTGCGTGCAGCTAAGACACAGACTATGCAATAACTTCACCATATTCTCAGTAGGAAGATAATTGAATCGCTTTAAAGGCCAGACCACGTACAGAGATGTTAAATTGGCGTGAGGAGGAAGAGGAAGAAGAAGAATAGCAATGGTATATTAATTTGTGTTTTTGTTCCGTCTGCTGGGAAAATTTAGGTACGGTTGGTGGATAAGGGTGGTGTTGCCGTTGGTGGATAATGGTGGTGTTATGGTTGGTGGATAATGGTGGTGTTGCGGTTGGTGGATAATGGTGGTGTTGCGGTTGGTGGATAATGGTGGTGTTGCGGTTGGTGGATAATGGTGGTGTTGCGGTTGGTGGATAATGGTGGTGTTGCGGTTGGTGGATACGGTGGTGGGTGGTTGCGGATAATGGTGGTGTTATGGCTGGTGGATAATGGTGTGTTGCGGTTGGTGATGCCAATGGTGGTGTTGGGTGGTTGGTGGATAATGGTGGTGTTGCGGTTGGTGGAGATAATGGTGGTGTTGCGGTTGGTGGATAATGCTGGTGTTATGGTTGGTGGATAATGCTGGTGTTATGGTTGGTGGATAATGCTGGTGTTACGGTTGGTGGATAATGGTGGTGTTACGGTTGGTGGATAATGGTGGTGTTACGGTTGGTGGATAATGGTGGCTTTATCGCTTCAGAGGAAATTGTCATAATCTTAGGAAAATCGGGATCATAATGCGAGGAAAACCATTGCCATAGAGCGGAGGAAAACACGGATCCACCTTAACTCCACCGCCCTTACATCCTGCCCTGAACTTTGACCTTTCTCTTGTGACCTTCATCCTGTGTAACTAAATGGAATCACTTAGGGGTCAGACTTTTACCTTGTTAGTGTGTAAAGTTTGGGGGGGAAATTGGTCGGTTTGTTCTCGTTAAGGTGTGTTGGTGAATTCAATACGTGGTGTGCTTACCTATACCCAGTTGGTCTAACGAAGCTTAACCTAACCTAACCTAACCTAACTAACCTAACCTAACCTAACCTAACCTAACCTAACTTAACCTAACCTAACCTAACCTAACCTAACTTAACCTAACCTAACGTAACCAAACAAATCTTAACCTAACCTATCCAAACAAATCTAATTTAACCTAACCTAACCTAACCTAACCTACCCTAGCCTATAAACTTGGCTGGCGAATTTTCACGTGACCCAAAATTTTTCTTGTTTGGTAAGACAGTCTGTGTTAGCAGGAAAGTTATCACCTAAGTTTTCAGGCAACTCTCTATTTATGCAATGTCTGAGTGGGTATTGCTATCACCCATGTGTGTGTGTGTGTGTGTCCGGTCAATTAGGATAAACTCGTGAAGGATTTTGGACGATTTGAAGTGTGTTCTTGACCTACTTTATAAGGTCACGTGTCATTGACTTACTTTCTAAGGTCCCGTGTTCTTGACCTACTTTCTAAGGTCCCGTGTCCTTGATCTACTTTCTAAGGTCCCTTGTCCTTGACCTACTTTCTAAGGTCACGTGTCATTGACCTACTTACTAAGGTTACGTGTCCTTGACCATAAACACACAAAATGGACTGAAGGCCCATACACCAGTCAGCGCTTTATTCCTGTTTGTGTTTTTATTTTTTGTTATGGTCTTGATAACTTACGAATCATGATCACCAAGTACATAGACACATACAGTGCAAGTATTCCATGTACAGTCGGGGTCAAAAGTTCTCTTCCGTCCTAAATGAAACAGCATCGACCCTTAATGAGATGAAACAGTCAGGGTTAAGTCAGTTCGGAGACTCATTCCCGTGAATCAGTTTCACCACGGGAAGCAAACGTTTGTCTCTGATTGTATATAGAAAGTGCAAGCATAATGGATGTAGACTGTGTAGGTATGCAGTGTACGTAGACAGTGTAGGTATGCAGTGTACGTAGACAGTGTATTTATGTAGAGTACGTAGACAGTGTAGGTATGCAGAGTACGTAGACAGTGTAGGTATGCAGAGTACGTAGACAGTGTAGGTATGCAGAGTACGTAGACAGTGTAGGTATGCAAGCAATGTACGTAGACAGTGTAGGTATGCAAACAATGTACTTATTTTTCGTAGTTTGTTTGGCCAATATCCTCCAATAAGAGTTAGGTCATTAAACACCAACAGATACTGATAAATTAATATCACTCGTGTGTTTTGGGTCAGTAACTCAAGTTTAGGAATATATCGGTCAGAGGTCAGCTGGTAAGTGGTGGCTAAAAGACTTTATTTTTTCCCCGAGTTTCCCCTTATCAGTTATTCTCATCCATTTTTGTTATGGGAGGTTATGAAAGATAGATTCTCACGTGTTTGTTATGTCATTTGATGGGTGGAGTTTGTACGTTATTAGAAGAATAATGTTTAAAAAAATAGTAAGTAATCTTGAACTCCAAGTTATGGGTAACGTCAGGCAGCCTCCCTTAAGCCACTCCAGTAATAATGGATTTTGGTCAACAATCATGGCCCAGACATGTTAACTCCATTACTGTCAGTCAGATTCGGTGATTACTAGTGCAAAAATATTATATTGAAGAGTAAGTTAAATGTGGATGGCGTTTACCGTAGATTTTACTCAGCTCGGTATAATAAATGTTTAAACAGTACAGTATGTCTCTTATTTGATGTTAATGTAATATTTACCCTCCATCTTTTCCTTCCTCTTTATTTACCTTTTGTAATAATCATTAATTGCTTACTGTTCCTCCCCGCAGGCCGCGCTGTGTACGGGATGGCAGGTGATGGCTGGACGCGGGACCACCATGACGTCATCGCGGGAGTGCGCATGCGCCGTTGTGTCTCGCTCCTGCCTCAGCTGGTGTTCCTCTCCCTCCTCACCCTCCTCCTCCTGCCCCTCGCTCAGGCTCATGGTAAGACACCCACCTTCTGCTTCTCCTCCAGGTTCATGCACTCTATATATATATATATATATATATACATATATATATATATATATATATATATATATATATATATATATATATATATATATATATATATATATATATATATATATATATATACATACTGTAATCTTAGATACTAGCACACAGTAGGAGAATATTTATTCTGTATTTAAAGAGCTTGTTCAATATTGACAATTTTTAGATGGAGAAAATATCCTTTTATGATAACCTCACTTTCCTGTACAGCAAATCCAGTTTATTGTTCATCTGGTTTGGTTCTCGAGGCTTAGTTCACTTTACGTTCTCAGCCGGATTTATTTTATGTATGGCGGAGGCGTCCAGTGAATTAAGTGTGGCAGTTTATTGTACAGTATGTGTGGCTAAGTTATATTATTCTTCTATATCGTCGTGTTGGTATGTACTGTATAGGTTGAATCATATATCCTGGTATATATAATGTGTATGGCATGATATGTGGAGTATATCCGTTGTGGTATATATATCCTGGTATATCTAAGTAACGTGTATGACATTTTGAGTACATCTTTTGACAGTGAATATCCTGTTATATGTATATGATGTAATGTTGTGGTATGCCTGGTATAACACTCATGGTATATCACAGGCTGGTATATTAGTATAAGTATGTGATATGTGGTGCTATGTTGTGATAGTGGTATGTGTATGTATATTGTATTCTTGTATTCACGTATTACATTCATATAAACATTGACTTAGGTTTTTTCATAATGTAACGCCTAACATCAGAATATATTAGGATTGATACGGGAAATTAAAGTTCACGTGTTCAAATGTTCAGACGATTTGGATAAATTATTTACACGGAAATAGGGAGAGATATATGAACTGTATGCGGAAATAGAGACAAATATATCCACATTGTACACGGAAATAGAGGGAAATATATCCACTCTGTACACGGAAATAGGGAGAAATATGTCCAGGGAAATAAGAGAATTAAGACCCGACTTTACACGACTCTTCCGTAGCTGAGATTTTTTCAGATAATTTTTGAGAAAGTTGGTAAAAGAGACTTTATTAGGAAGCTCCTCGAGGCCTTATGCTTTTACTCCAACTTAGGTGCTAAAACTCGAGGCAGGATCCACTCGACCTGGCAGTAAGAGACGTCATAGCTCACCCTCGACTGTCCTAACCTAACTCATCCTCGACATGCCTAACCTAACCCTCGACGTATCGCCACGGGTAAAAAGTTCTTAATGAAATAGGAATTAAAGCTAAAACTTGATCTAATCTCACGGGATAAAATGTTTACTTGAGAGAGAGAGAGAGAGAGAGAGAGAGATTGTCAACCTTTTCTTGACTTACAAAGAAGATAGTGCACCTGACTTAATGAAGTAAATTTAGTTAAAAAGTATTTCTTAAGACAATCATGCTCTCTTGATTATATACAGTAGTATTTGATAAGAAAAATGTCTTCTGATTTTATTTATTTTTTTTACAATTATTATTTTCCCGGTTTGAGAATATTAATTTTCGTGGATATAAGATAAAACTTTATTCCTAAGTAAGAAGTTTGTTTTAGTAATTTTATTAACCCCTTGAGTGTGATGATTTAACTCCTTGGGTGCAGGTATACAATGTACCTAGACAGTGAAGGTATACAAACAATGTACCTAGACAATGAAGGTATACAATGTACCTAGACAGTGAAGGTATGCAATGTACCTAGACAATGAAGGTATACAATGTACCTAGACAGTGAAGGTATACAATGTACCTAGACAATGAAGGTATACAATGTACCTAGACAGTGAAGGTATACAATACTAAACAATAAGACGTTACTGTCAACAAAACCATCGGTGCTTATATCCAGTTGAGTCCTCGATATTAATGTTTTATATCCGTGTGTAACTTTGTTTTGATGTCTCCAGACCAGAATTCCGTCAAAACAACTTAGCGAGACGTAAGGGACGGGGGGAACCATGATGCTAAAAAGTATCTCGCTTGAAAAGATCTCGTTCGGAAGAGTCTCGCTTAGATATTTGTTCGCCCTTGGAGACTTGAAAGAAGGTATTCAAATAAAACTCTTATGTTAATGTAACCTTCTGCTATGTTAATGTCGTCCCTTTTTCTTATTTATAGCGATTCATTTTCTGCTTCTCTCTGAAGGTCTCAACCAAGGCAATGTCCGATTTATTTCACGACATCTGAGGAAGTAACCTGTTTGGACTTTTAATACGATTCCTTCTGACATGCAAATATCTTCCGACCCATAATTTCGATGCAGGTTCCTCCCGCTGTGTGCCACATGTCCCCAGCAGCCTTGTGGACCCCGACAGCGGCAGGAGGAACTGACGGAGGCGTTGACCCATTTAATTTTATTTTATTATGTCTTCCTCCTCCTCTTTCGTCTTTCTGCTTCTTTTTCCTCTTTTTCTTCCTCTTCATCTTTTGTTATTTTCTTCCTCTTTTCCTTTTCTTCCTCTTTTATTCCTCCTTTTTTATTCTTCCTATTTTTCTTCCTCTTCTACTTCTTCTTATTATTATTATTGTTCTTGAGGAAGTCCTTAGTTAGACACTACTCCCTGCAAGCTCCACAATCCGTTTCCTCCACCTTTGCTCTTACCAGGTCTCTTTCACTGTATCCATCCACCGTGTTCTTGATTTACCTCTCCTCCACCTGTTCTTGATCTACCTCTCCTCCACCTGTTCTTGATCTACCTCTCCTCCACCTGTTCTTGATCTACCTCTCCTCCACCTGTTCTTGATCTACCTCTCCTCCACCTGTTCTTGATCTACCTCTCCTCCACCTGTTCTTGATCTACCTCTCTTCCACCTGTTCTTGATCTACCTCTCCTCCACCTGTTCTTGATCTACCTCTCCTCCACCTGTTCTTGATCTACCTCTCCTCCACCTGTTCTTGATCTACCTCTCCTCCACCTGTTCTTGATCTACCTCTCTTCCACCTGTTCTTGATCTACCTCTCCCCCACCTGCTCTCTACCTTGCACCGCGTCTTCAGTACCGCTACCGTCTTCTCCACGGTACAGGACCCGGCAGCAAGTGGTTGTACTGTACTGTCTCCAAGTCCTTAATGAGCGTCTTGCGAACGTAGATGATTTGCCTCACTATATTCTACACCATAAACTCCGTGCGTCCGTCCCTATGTAGTTCCGTGAGCTTCTTACCACGATAACTCCGTAAATACCGATGGCTTGAGTGTGTAGTCGTTGTAATGCAATGTATGTCGGTTTATCGTGTGTGTGTGTGTGTGTGTGTGCACTGTATACACACACACACACACACACACACACACACACAGCCGTGCACCACCAGCCCTTCAACGCCTGCGCTAATATCTCTTTATGGGTCATTCTGTGCTTAAATTTCCTGGGTGGTATAAATAGGAGGCAACAACTCGTGGTGGTGATCAGTGTCCTCTGTGGTGACGAATGACCCAAATTATATACAATCACTCCCGGGGTGAGGGTCACGGAGACCACAGGCGTGACGCAGCTCAACAACGCCCTGTATAGACCGAGCGTTTTAGTAGGGTTGTAAATATGCCCTTTTATGAGGTTTGTCAACTGGCGGTTTTATATAAAAGTTGGGATAAAGTGCGGGCATTTGGGACATAAACAAGATGATGGAAACCGTGGTACAAGGGCGTAAACACTGATTTCCACCACCTTGTTTTCACTCTATACGTGTTGCCACCAATTTGTTTATGTAATGGTGTTTTATCCTCCTTGTTCACGTTCATGTACCAGTGTTGCCACCACCTTGTTCACTTACAGGTAAACATGGAATGGCAACACTGATAAGACGGAGACAAGGGGATGGCATCACTGGCAATAAAGGCACTGAAGGGGCCACGCGTGTACAGTACTGATGAGTGCCACCTCTTATAGCTGCACTCTTTGTCAAGCAGTGGCCCCACCCTCTTGTTGTGGCCTTATCTTGACGCACCCTTACTGTATCTTGCTGTGTCCTAACCTTAAGACACACTTATGTTGTGTTCTTACCTCAAGACACTTATGTTGTGTCCCTATCTTAAGACACATTTATGTTGTGTTTCTACCTCAAGACACATTTATGTTGTGTTCCTACCTCAAGACACATTTATGTTGTGCTGTGTTCCTACCTCAAGACACATTTATGTTGTGTTTCTACCTCAAGACACATTTATGTTGTGCTGTGTTCCTACCTCAAGACACTTATGTTGTGTCCCTATATCAAGACACATTTTGTGGTCCTTCCTCAAGACACACTGATGCTGTGTCTGTATCTCAAGTCACGAATACTCGAGCAGATTTTAAACAACCAAATTTATCGAACATGTTTTCTTCTTTTACTACTTCAATAATACGAGTGAACAGGTGAGCTACAGGATGGATTACCTGTCTAATTAGCACAGGTGTTAAGTATCAGTCAGGGATGGAAGATAAGACCGGTGATCATTAGTCGAACATGAGAACAGATAATAAATGAAAAACATCATTATTTCGGGAACTTAGGGAAACGTTTAACTTTGTTGAAGCAATTTATTAAGCAAACAACATTTAGCAACTTTGTAAACGTTTAACATTTTTTAGGCAACTTGGATAAAATGTTATAATTATTTAGCAACTTAATGTTTAACCTTGTTTAGTCAACTCAAAGAAACGTTCATTTATTAGACAATTTGGTCGTGTGAGTCAGGCGGCACCAAACGTTCTGGAGGTCTTGTTGGTGATGGTGTTTAGGTTTGAAGTTTGTGACATGATTTTAAAATTTTTGGTTGAGGACGAAAATGTCATCACGTGATAGCAGTAGAAGTGATGATGAGGATGATAGTGACGATGATGAAAGCAATTGGGGCGTTATTGATGATGATAATGACGTTGTTAATGATGATGATGATTTTAATGATGACGACGATATTAATGATGATGATGACGATTTTAATGATGACGATATTAATGATGATGATGATGACCA